GGTCCCGTTTTAGCCAGGGGCTGGGGTAGCCCAGGTGTCAGGGTCAGCAGGGGGCAGGCGGCCTGAGTGCCTGGTTTCCCCAGGAACCTGGCAGCTTCTTTTTTTAAAATTATTTATTTATTTATTTATTTTTTTGGAGAGGTTTTTGCTATAGGGCGCATGCGCTCACCAGAAAGTCAGAAAGAGACATACAGAAAGTGAGAAATCACCCCCTGGGGGGATGGCCATGCCGCAATCCCGTCTCCATTCTCCTCTCGGGATTTTGGGTATGCACGCACACGCACCCAGCGTGAGTTTAAGCCACCTGGGTCCGGGACTCAAACCGCGGTCGACTACGTGGGAGTCCAGCGACATAGCTATTACACCAACTGCTGGTCCCATCCCTGGCAGCTTATCCTGTGGTTGGAAGTGGCACAGAGGCCAGCCAAGCGCGAGGCAACCCTCCTCTTCTGACCACACCTGAGGCCGTGTCCATGCAGCTGCCTCGTTGGAGTGGAAAGGCAGCTAACCCTCCCCCGAGTGGTGCAGGGCCTCCCAGGAGGCCACCCTGTGGGTGGTGCGCCGTAGTCCAGGAGAGAGGCGGGAGGACCCGGGATGATGTGCTCCACGTGGGGGTTTCCATGTGTGCATGTGTGTTGTGTGCATGTGTCCAACATGTGCCAGCACTGCCCTAGCAGGGAGATGTCTCTGTGCTGGTTCCCAGCGGTTTCCGTGTGCGTGTGCATGTGTGTCCAGCACATGGTAGCACTGCTCAATCAGGGAGATGTGTCTGCACTGGATCCCTGGCGGTTTCCATGTGTGTGTGCATGTGTGTGTACATGTGTGTATGTGTGTGTGTGTCCAGCACATGGTAGCACTGCTCAGTCAGGGAGATGTGTCTGCACTGGATCCCTGGCGGTTTCCATGTGTGTGTGCATGTGTGTGTACATGTGTGTATGTGTGTGTGTGTCCTGCACATGGCAGCACTGCTTAAGTAGGGAAATTTGTCTGCACTGGATCCCCAGCAGTTTCCATGTGCACGTATGTGTGTTGCATGTCCTGCACATGGCAGTGCTGCTCAAGCAGGGAGATGTGTCTGCACTGGGTTCCCAGCGGTTTCCATGTGCACGTGTGTGTGCGCGGGTGTCTGTGCATGTCCTGCACATGGCAGTGCTGCTCAAGCAGGGAGATGAGTCTGCACTGGATCCCCAGCGGTTTCCATGTGCATGTGTGTGCGTGTGTGTCCTGCACATGGCAGTGCTGCTCAAGCAGGGAAATGAGTCTGCACTGGATTCCCAGCGGTTTCCATGTGCACGTGTGTGTGTACACGCGTGTGTGCATGTCCTGCACATAGCAATACTTCTCAAGTAGGGAGATGAGTCTGCACTGGATTCCCAGCGGTTTCCATGTGCACGTGTGTGTGTACACGCGTGTGTGCATGTCCTGCACATAGCAATACTTCTCAAGTAGGGAGATGAGTCTGCACTGGATTCCCAGCGGTTTCCATGTGCATGTGTGTGCGTGTGTGTCCTGCACATAGCAATGCTTCTCAAGCAGGGAGATGTGTCTGCACTGGATTCCCAGCAGTTTCCATGTGCACGTGTGTGCACGCCCAGCAGGTGCCCCACTGCCCAGGCAGGGAGCTGCATTCGAGCTGGTTCCCTAGCGGTGCTGTGGGGAGGGTTCCTCCCCAACGGGGAACCCACCCTCGGTCAGTGACACCGCATCACCCTCGCCCATGTAACCGTGATGCAAGAGAGGCAGTCAGCTTGAGTTCACAGCTGGCACATTCAGAAGGGATGCACACGCTCACATGCACGTGTATGCACACACGCTCACAAGCATACAGGGACATGTGCTCACACATGATCACACGTGCATGCACATGTGCCCACATTTATGCACGCGGTCATGTACATATGCACGTGCTTGTGTATATGTAAGCTTAAGTTCATATGTATGCATGCATGTAAGCTCATTCGTATGTGTGTATGCATGCACACATGCTCACATGTATATGTACATAGGTGTGTATATATGCACACACTCCCATGTGTGCTTGTGTTTGTGCGTGCACGCTCACATGTATGTGTGCACATGCACTTGTGTGTGTACAGACACATAGCTACATGTGTATATATGCACATACATTTAAGACACTAAGCACATGTAGATGGGTGTGGTGTGGAGCCTGCCATGTGAGGTCCAGGCCGGGTCTTTGCTGCTCTGCCCTGGAAAGGGGCTCAGGGCGAGCAGATGAGGGTCAGTCCCAGGGTCTGGGCGGTTCGGTCAGCACCAGCCAGCCCGCTGTCAGCCTGTGCCATCTTCTGCCCTTCACAAGCTGGTCACCTCAGTGACAGTGGTAATAAAGCCCACTCCAGGCGGGGAGAGCCTGATCATTCCGGGGGGGCTAGGCCTGCGGGAGTGGCCTGCTAGGCAGGCTGGTGGGGTGTCCACCTGAGCTTAAAGGATAGGCCCTGGGAGGCAGAGCTCTCGGGAGGGGCTGGAGCAGGGTTGGTGGGAGGCCACAGGGGCTCTCACCCTGTGGAAGAGGCTGGGCCTCCCCCCTCCAGCCTTCCCGGGCAGACCCCTACTCCCTGCACCCTGCTGCCCTGCCCTTTACCCTCCTCCGCCTTCCCCCCCAACACCCTCCACCTGTGAGGACTGGCCAGCACCCCAGGGGGCGATGGACCCCCCCAGGCAGGGTCTCCCCGAGCCCTGCTCTTCAGGCTGTGCCACGGCTTTGTCCTGCCAAAGAACCAGGCTGACACCAAGCTCAGGATGGGGTGCAGGCAGTGCTTGCTCAAGGGCCCCCGGGTGAGACTGAGCTGCTGCTAGAAGGGCCTGGGTTTCTTGGGCCAACTCTGGCCTTTCCAGTCCGGACCTCAAACTAAAGACCTTGCAGTGGGGAAGTGGTGCCTGCCCTGCGTCGCTTGCACCCCCTCTGCCCCCAGGGACTGGACCACACTATCGTCCAGCACGGAGGCCCTCCATGCTCCCAGCTGCCACCATGCCACCAGGCAGGGGAAGAGGGTGGTCTAGCCCCTGGGCACAGCGGGCCTCCCGGCATACTTCCTGGAGAGAGCCAGCCTGACTCCTTGGTTGGACAGCGGGCTGAGGCGCCAGGGCCATGGTGCCCAGTCCAGGGCTCCCCTCCCTTCCATGAACTTCAGGAACCCAAGCTGTTTGCCCCAGGCTGGACACAGGGCCCTGTGTGGGCAAAGGCTGGGCCTCTGTTGAGGTGGTGGCCCTGGAGGGCAGCAAGGCCTGCGGGGCAGGAGGCAACCCCTCAGGGCCTTCTGAGTGGACAACACAGGGGGCACCAGGACGGGCCGGCCCAGCAAAGGTGTACCAGGTGAGAGCTGTGAGCGGGTGGGTGTGTGAGATGGGCCGGGCAGCCCTGGGCGTGGCTGCTGCCCTCGGGCACAGGGCATGCAGCAGCCTGGCATCCCAGCGCCCAGCCCTGGCCGCAGGCAGCAGAGTGGGACTCACCCCTTCCTGGTCTGCACAGTGCACCAGACCCTGCCCTGGCTCAGGGAGCTGCCCTCTGCAAATCCCAAGGAGCCTTAGCACAGACGGGCAAGGCTGTGCCCAGGACGGAGGGGCACATCTCACCCCTGCGCTCGGCCCTGGTCCACAGCTTCTCTCTTCCCCACCCAGACTGTCCTCACGTCATCTTCCCACAGACTTCATCACCCCTGCCTCCATCACTACTGCCACTGCCACCTCCTCCAGTGCCACCGCCACCTCCCTCGCTGTCTCTGTCCACGTCACCACTGCCTGTCACCTCCACCGCCCACATCACCTCCACCGCCTCCCTCA